TAGATAACTATTATCCGCAACCAAAGTACCTGATTATTGAGTCCTTTGGACCCTTAGGGTAAAGCCATGGTCAGTACGCCCACGTCTCTCGCGGATTTGGCAGGGCCGGCCGGCGGCCGCCGTCGCGCCAAGGGCCCGGTTGAGCCTCCCACCTGAGGAGGCGCAGTAGTAAGTTTAGGGCAGGGTTTTGGGTGATACCTTATAAAATCCTTAACATATAACTTTTTTAAACCAAAAAAGGAACTACAATGGAGACTATAGGTAGGGTATCTGTAGTCGTCGAGATGTTGTCGTCCTGGCACTTGGCTGTGCCAGAAGCCTCGCCCTATAGCAATGGTCGGACTGAGGATGGCTGTCATATGCTGTCATGGTATCAGCACAACAGGCAGCGAGAAGAGAAACTACTTTCATCATTCAAAAAGGGGCCTAAATAATTACCTATACTATTTTTTGGGGGTTCCTGATTATAAAAAGACTATAAAGGACCCCGAACCCCTATTCTAATTATTATTAAGGCCCCTACAATACCTGCAAGAGAGCTGGGCCTTTCTACCCAGCCGCCTGCACTCGCCGGCACGGTCTTCAAGGGACCTGTTGCCCCGGCGACTTTTTCAACAAAACTGCGGGCTACCTCCAGCCAAAGTGTGCCAGTGTAGCCTGAAGCACATACTTGTGCACACCCACCTCTTGGTGGCCTCCTGTGCTGAGAGCTATTCCTTCGGTCAGCCTCTTGAAAGAAAACGAGGCCTCTTACCGAGGCTTGGGCTTTGGGGCTGCTCTGGGCTTTGGGGATTGGGAGAGGAGCCTCGAAGCCTTCAGGCTTTTTTAAAGTAGGCTTCCAGTTGAGAATTTCAGGGTAGAATGGGTTTTCATCTAGGGCTTCGCGTGCTTTGCCTCGTCTGAGGCTTGGCAATGAACTCTGTACCTGCCGTCAATGACTCGCGGCTGCGTCTCGCTCATATTGTTCCGGCGGTCATTTTTTAGATGAGCTCCAATAAGCCCGTCGATCTCCAGTGCCCAGCCTGCCTCCAAAAGGGATCGTCTTGGCGTGAAGCGCATGCATCGCAGCGTTTGCCTCCCGAAACGCGAGCCAGCAACCAGCTGCCCCCACACCCAAATGTTGCTACATTGCTATGACTCCTATGACTCATTGCGCATCCAGGGTTGCCGCAGTTGGTGCTACCAGCTGCTACCCCCACTACTGACTGAGTACCATGTAGCGCAACTATAACTGCCGCAGCTGCTGCCACGGGCAATACTTCAAGCTGCTGCTGCTGCTGAACATTTAAATCACCAATGAACCCTGAATCTAGTGTTGATCTTCTGGGCCATGGCACCCTCTTTTGACTTGGGTGCCGTGGATGCAGCTGCCGGAATTTGGTTGTGGCTTGGCCTCCGCATTGGTGTTCATGGCATCTGAGGGCTTGGGTGTAAACTTCGGGTCAAGGGTGTCCAGGGTTTAAGGCTCAGCGCGACGAGGGTTCCAAAGGGATCCTTGCTGGTACGGAGGTTGATTGTTGCAATGAGCCTCCGAGCCCAAAAGGGATCATAATCTAGCAGACAAAACCATCTTCCTGCGCCTTCAGGAAGCTCGACGCGGTCAACCCAAATCCCAAACCCCAACCCCGGAACACTAACGCCCAAAATCGTGATCCCAGCCCCCCTAAATCCCTAAATATCCCGAAACCCAAAACCCCAAGCCATATGAAAGGCCAGCGCGGCTTTAGCTCTTGGTTCCATGGCCCGTGCCCGAGGAACCGCCTTCAGCGCCAGGACCTCCCGGGTTGCGCCCTGCTGGAGGCTGAAAACTGCGTTTAGGGAAGCGTCGGTGAAAATTACCCATGGACGTACAATCCGCGTATAGCTGACGCAGGTCGTCCAGAGGCTTATTCTTCAAGTTGTCAACCCACCTGTAGGCGGCACGGCGGCGCGAGGCATCTGCACGGCAGCATGCCGAGGAGCACGTGTGCTGGCCAGGGCTTCTGTTCGAACTGCATTGTTGCTCACAGTCTGCTCACATTATTTTTTGAGTCTTCCGGCCGGTGTAAAATTATAGCTGTGCAGTTCAACCGGGTTGTGCAGGGATGTTTGTTCGAATAAGCTAGTGACGACTAGTGCAAGTCCTATATCAGGGGGCTGGTCCTCGAGTGGTCGCTTCAGGGTAGAGGCATGCTAATCAAAGTCTTGGCGCATGAAGCAGCGACCACATCCATGGATTAATTCGCTGATAGTATGATTGTTACTATGATTGTTACTATGATTGTTACTATGATTGTTACTATGATTGTTACTATGATTGTTACTACCTTCAGTTTGCAAACTAGAGTTCTTCCCAGAGCATCGCGAAAGCATCCTGCGGTTTCACCGCCCCGAAGAGGCCCTGGCCAAAGCAGAGCAGGGCCGCGCGAATCTGGCTACAGCACCCTGGCATCATGATAGACAAAATCGTTGTTTCGGGTGTGTTTTCCGTTTTCCCCATGAAAATGCAACAACATGTAGGCATTTAAAGCCATACGGCAGTGTAGCACAAAAACAGAAAAGACAGGTATAGCCAGGTCAAGCAAGATGCCCAGACAATGAGCTACAGTATTGCACGAGTATTCGTACACAACTGGATTCATGAATGTATGGCTTTGTGTTTTGTCTTACGTTGCTCGCAGTTACTTTTGAGTCACTCTCAGTATAAGTTTGGAGTCATCCATCATATGCTGTCAAACAGCGGCTGTGACTGCTGTAACGTTTCTATACCCGTCAGTTTCCGTATTGAAATGCTCTAGCACAGGGCTCTCATTGCTTTTTCCGCTATTGCATGGCCGTGCTTTTATGTCATAACCTCTCCTCACAATGGACTCATGCAATACTGCAGCTCCTCGTATGAGCATCTTCTTTGACCTGGCTTTTCTGTTGCTTTGCAGCCATACTGCCACATGGCTTTGAATGGCTACATTCTGTTGAATTTTCATATTGCAGGGCGGGAGACTGGGAACATCATGCCATGGCAAGACATCGTCAGCAATCTGAGGAGTACCTCGCGAAGGAGAAGGTCCTGCACGAGCATCGGTTGAAGCTACTGGACGAATCCAAGGTGGAGCTTTGCCCTTGTTCTGGGCTGCGTGCTTGCAATGTTGCAGTGAGCTGTACTATACTGCAAGATACTGTACAGCACGCATGGCAGTTGAATGAAGCCGCAACCCTCAAGCCCAACAATGATTATGAAAAATACACACGAAGCTGTACGGCCCCTTGAATCCCCACGGCCATAAACTTCCTGGAACCTGACGTCCCAAATTTCCAAAAGTGCCTCGAGCCCGACTCGTGTCGAGGCCGCCGTAGGTTCCGAGCAGAGGCTCCGTGCAGACGCCGAGGTGTCCGAGGGCCTTCTACTGATTCTGATGTGTTTAGGGTTTAGGGCTTAGGGATATGCAGTGTACCAATAGCGGATTATAGGATTCCGACTACGAATAAACAGTTCAGGGTGTAGAGTTTACGCTTCATTTTAATTATGAGGGGTTTAGGCTCTAGCTAGGGCTCGTTCGATATCAAGCACGATAGCATGTCGAGTGGCAGTATGCTATTGAGCATGTTATTGGTTTTGCCAGTGTGTGTGCTGTTACTACTCTGTTGATTGGACAGTATGAATTTGCGTCAAGGGTATGGGTAATATGTACCATATGAATCATACTATTGTGTTGTTAACAAACAAAGTTGCTACGACTGGTAGCATATCCAGCATGTCATAACAGACGCCCCTCGTTAGCCGTATCAAAAGTGATACGATGGACGCAGACGCAAAAACAGGGTGGTGTTCAATAATTTTCGAATCAGTAAACGGCATAACATAGCTAGCAGCAGAAGACGGAAACGAACGGGACAGTGGCAGGAAAAACAGTGGGACCTCAAAATACGGGCGGCGCCGTTGAGAGCACGACGGCTAGCTTTGGAAGTCTCGAAGCCACTTCAACTTCGAGCGGCGTCGACAAGCCGCGACAAGCCGAGTAGTGTGGACCTGCCAGGAAAATCGAGCGATGATGTGCAGGAGCACGATGCCCACCCTACGCACGGCATTGAGTTCGCGATTTGCAATGCAGGCACAAACATGTGTGACGGTAAGTACGGTGCCCCCGGCGGACGCAAACAGTGGAACCACCCAGCGTGCAGGCACACGTGTGGTGCCGCAACAGCGCCCTGCATGTTTTAGGTGCGACCGCTTTTGCGCTTCGCAAGATCGTGCTCGCCCGTGGTGCAACTGTTGGACCCGTGGCGTCTCGGAAGTTGCCGTCTCCGCAGCTTCAGGCCTCAACCTGCCGCAATGAACCGATTCCAAACCATCTGTGGTCCACAGGGGTCCTCAGCCCTGATCCTGAAACCCCCGATGTCAGACCTCAAGCCCTCAGCGTAACCGCCCGTGGCCATGCATCTGAGACTCCTAACAAAGGGGCCTGAATGATTAGAATAGGGTTTTGGGGCCCATTATATACCATAATTATAGTAAGGAACACCAAAAATAGTATTGGTAATTATTTAGGCCCCTGCATTAGACACTCGAAAGAAAGCCCAATCAGGCAGCCCTGGCGGCGGCCATGCGACAGTTGCAGGAAGCCAGGGAGGCTGCTGGGAGGGTAGAAGCAGATGGGTACCTATATCCTCTCCCTCATTACGGCTTTGTAGGATTCAACGGTGACAATGATGGTGATGATGGTGATGATGAGGGTCTCCGTCTTGACTGTGGCGACTGTTGTTAGCCTTCGTCGTAGCGGTGCTTCGGATGGGAGGCCTTTGGGAATTTATGACTACTAAACTGTGGGGGGTGATTGCGGGACGGCTCCTCTTCTGAATCTGAGACGTCGGCGGAACTGTCAAACCACCACGGAAGCGACATGGGTGTTTGTCAAAATTATGGTCCCTTTTTGGGTCCTTACTATAATACGGCACCTATTATTTAGGGTACCCCAAATCGGACCATAATTTTGACAACTACCCACATGCAGCTTCTACCCAGACACGGGGGGTATTGCAAAACAGATTCTGAATACGAGGATCCCTGCTCTGCAACAGCGCAGTTCGCAGGAACCCCAAGTCTTTCGGGCTCTTACCCAGGTCATGTAAATCCCGTCTCAACCTATAAGCAACCCCGAATTCGTAGGGTCCCTATTCAATCATACCTATAGTCTCCATTGTAGTTCCTTTTTGGGGATACCTTATAAAATCCTTAATTTATAGTTGGTTAAACCAAAAAAGGAACTGCAATGGAGCCTACAGGTATCTTCATAATGCAGAAAGCTTGCTGAAGAGTTCCTGCAGGCCTTGGCCCTGGAGGCCTCAGCGCGAAGGAGTGCCGAGGAGGTGCTGAAAAAGCAGAGCCACAAGGCCTTTGGGGTTGGGGACCGGGCTAGAGGGGGGGTGGGGGTGTTCAGAAAAGGGCGGGGGCAAGGTCGAGGGCTTGGGATCCGAGTTCAGGATTCTGGGGGGATGCAGGTTCTGATTTTGAAATGTAGGGATAGTTGCACAAGTTCTACCCAGGCTCTACCAGCGGTCGGAAGCATAGTCTCACTTACGATGCTAATGAACCAGAAAAAGCAGAAAACCAAGCACGACAACGCTATTGATGCTGATGGTGATGATACTGATGATGCCGAGGTGATTCATCATCCTTGCTATAGTCGACCTAATCAGCACCACCGCAATCACCACCGCCGTCGTCACCTTCAGCACCATCGCCATCACTACATAATCATCACCACCATAATCATCGTCATCATCATAACACTCGCACAAGAAGGGACATAGACTTGGCATGCAGCTACTTCTACAACAAGCAGCGGCAGCAGCAGCAACAACGACAACAACAACAGCAGCAACAACAACAACAACAGCCAAACGCTAGGTGCCTCACACGAATGACAGAGACGCTTGAAATACTTTCAGTAGGGGAGAGCTGAGGTCATGGTACCAATGATGAGCGCAAGCATGACTTGTAACATACAACAGCCCTGCTTGAGCCGAAGACGAGCAGCTACAGCTGCACCAACACTAACAAGAGCAGCAACAACACCACATAAACAAGCAGCTGCTTGTGCTACCGCGACAATCGCAATATAGCATGTGATCTGAGACGATGGTGAGGATGTGACACGCAGTGATGACGTCGACGAGAAAGCAACAGCAATGCTCTCCATGCTTGTCTGAGGCTCCCAGCCTATTCAATGTGAAACTCCTGCGCCTTCGCGCTAGGTCGAAGAGCTGGAGGCCGTGCTTCAGGAGGACGAGGCACAAAAGGGGCTGCGGCTTGGGGTTGGCTTAGGAATGCTTAGCTTGCCTGTTGCCGAAGAAGCCCCCAGACTCTGCACAGACGTTAGCGATCCTTGACGAGTTCCGAGAGAAATCGGAGTCCCAACGCCAGCAGCTCAGGAAATGGGAGCATTTCTTGCCTTGGCATGTTTCTGGACTTGGATTGATAGCGAGCCGTCGAGGGGTTGAGACAGAGGAGGCGGCGGCCGCTAGAAGGTCTGAATAAATTAGGAATAAGATACTTTTACATCATATTTATAAGTATTATCCCTAATATACGTGTTTAAATAAAAGATAGTATACCGTATACCCTGAAACCCAATTTTCTGGCAAGGTCGCCAGATTGCCTTGCTGCGGAAGCAGCTGGAGGCCTCGGAGGCCCCGCGACTCGAACACTTGGGCAGCTTTGCCTCTTTTTCTGTCCTTTGGTTAGTAGGGAATGGAGGAATGGGGTACAATTATAACTACTATTACTACCATGCTTCCATTCCCTACTAACCAAAGGTAAGTTTTCTGTCCTTGGGACTTCAAGGTTTAGGGCACCGCGGCTCGGAGTGATACGGCTTGCATTATGAAGTTACTTTGAGTGTGCATGTTTTGTTCCTTTTGCAGGAGGAAGCATCTTCCACTGCAGCGGCATTGCAGGAAGTGAGGCAGGGTACAGCATTTGCAGCTTCGTCTGCTTACCAACCCACTCTAGGGGTTGGTTCATGACCTAGCTCGTGGCAGCTACACATCACCAGCATTAGACCTGCGCAGAGAGGAGCCTGAACACTCAGACACTGATAGCATGCCATCATGCTTCTAAGCCCCCAGTTGGCGGCGACCGTTTGGATTCTCCGAGGGACGAGCAAGCCTTTGTCTCCTACCTGCCTCTTGCCCAGGTCGGAGTTTGCCGCGAAGCAGCAACAGTGGCTTTCTGAGAATGACTGCGCTGAACGGCTTTGGGGCTTCGGGTTACAGTAGGTATTCACAGGGATTGTGGGCACCCTAGGTCCCGTGCTTGAATCATATCTGAATGGGGCAGCATGCCCGTGACCAAAGGGTGGTGTTGTTTGCATGCCCACTCTTCAGGTCGCCCAACAACCCAGTGCTCAAGGCCACACTCCAGAGTTGGAAGTGAAGCTCCCGAGGTCTTGGCAAGGCTCAGCAGGCCTACCTCCGTCCATAGCTCAAGATCCCTCCCTCCCAAAGATGCAGCCGAGAGCCATGGATTGCGGCCACGACCCCGGATACCGGCTTCCCCGCAGTGGTGGCCTCTCGCTGTGCTTGGGCTGCTTCTTTGAGACTCGGGTGGCATAAAGGCTTTGTTACATGCAAACTTTGAGAAACATGTTTTTGGAATTACATATATACATACATACGGACAGACATGCATACATACAGACAGACAGACATTGTTTGTTGGGCATTTGAGGACTTTGGACCTGGGTGCAGACTGTAATGTTCAGCTGAGCACGCGAAGTTTTGTGCAGGGACTGCCTCAAGGAATCGGGAAGGGCAGCAACCAAAGGAATTCAGAGGACTTGGGCAGAGATGCTTTTGATACTTGCCATGGCAGTGGTCCTGAAACATTACCGCAGTTTTGATATAGTCGGCGCAAAGAAGAGGACACGCTGCCGCTCTTGCTCCTGCTCCTCCTCCTCCTCCTCCTCCTTGTCCTACCACTACAAGTACTGCTGCTGCTGCTGCTGCTGCCATGAGTTAATTACACTCCCCTTACGGTTAGCGCAACCGCCCGGTCCCTCTTGACTAGGACAGGATGGACTGACTTCTGCGACCCCCATTTCTGCGGGCATTGGGACAGTGAGTCCGTGCTGAGGATGCCTTTCAAGCGGGCAAGCAGGGGAGCGCCTCCGTGCACGAGCTCAGTGCCATCATCTTTGGACCCGAAGGCGGTAAGCGTGAGAGATAGGGTTTACTTAAGGTTGAGCTGGTTTATTCCAAGATGTTCGCAAGGCTGGGGTCAGTTGAGATTTGGTACAAGCTGCTTACAATGCACAGCTCAGACCCTGTTTAGGCTGCCGTGGTTTTCAAACTCGCCATCCGGTCAAGCGAGAAATAGTGTTTACGTCCACCCAAATCTGTAAACCTGTGCAAGACATAATCAACACAGGCCGCGCACAGTGCCTTGCGAGCCGCCTGCTCTGGCGGAGCTCTTTCCTCAAGTGGTCTGCAGTGGCTTCGGCAGATCATTGTGGGCACGAGGCCTAGGACGCCAAGGTGTGCTCGATCCTCTTCCCCCAGACTGTGTAGCCCGAAAACGGTACAGGCAGTGTACAGGCAATTACCCTTGTAGCCACGGTGAATGAAATGCCCTGAACCTTGACGCCACTGACTTCGCAAACCGTTACAATCCATAAAGCCTACAATCCACAATCTCAGGGGGCGCCACAGAGCACCAAAGGGTGAGCTTCCGATTCCACGGGTCGGAGGGTGAAAGTTCATGCGAGTTACAGGGGTCCCTAACCCTAAACCCTAAACCCTGTTTCCATCACTTCGGTGCCGAGGAAGCCTTGGCCACTTCGACGGAACCAGCGGCGCCCTTGCATCTAATCGACTTCCTTTCGCGCTGTGTGGCCGAGGCAGGTAGGATCCTAATCTGTAATGGTTAAGGGTTAAGGGTTAAGGNNAATGTAGGGATCCACCACATCATGGCTCCCAAGGAAATGGGGGGTATCAGAGGTTTAATCAGTGGTCTAGATATTGTGTTGCATCATGCATGACCTTTGCCATTGTGGAATTGAAAGAGCTCGACCTCAACTGGCCAAAGCGGATTGGATGCTGACATGTCAGTCAGGAGTTCCTGGGTCAAGCCACCATGGCATGTGGAGTCGACAGGCCAGGGAGCTAAAATGTCGCCATGCGAGCGGTGACTGATAGTTTGACACATCAAGCAGGTTGAGGGTTATAGGAATGCAGCTTCTTTGCTCGTGCTCCTGTCCAGCCCTTACATCCACAAAGCCTGGCGCCAGTCACAAAGCAGCCGTGAGTGGTATGCTGCTGGAAGCACTGGTCACGCACGTCGCCCAGCACTGCGCCATGTACACTCTGGATGTGGGCGCGAAGGCGAGTTGGGCGAAGATGTGGGGCCGGGCTGGTGAGGTACTACTATCATTATGAGAAGTTACTGTCACTAAGTTACTATTACTATTATTATTACGGTTATTACTATCATTATTATTACTACTATTATTGTTTGTTACTTTTCAAGCTGCTGCTGTTGATTGATTCTACCGATTGTTTCTCACGGCAAGGACATGAGCCCAGCCGTGCATCAGGCAGCATCTCTGGGCATCCTCCTCCTCTTCCACCTCTTGGAATCTCAGACCAGATGATGCAGATGACTCAGGGTTCGGGCTAGCAAGGCTCGATTCAAGGGGTCGGCTCTTCCTATCATTGTGAAGCAGAATTCACCAAGTGTCGGATTGTTCACCCGCCAAT